GAGGGCACACACACACACACACACACAGAGGGGCTCAGTAATGAGGGCACACACACACACACAGAGGGCACACACACACACAGAGGGGCTCAGCAGTGAGAGCACACACACACACACACACAGAGGGGCTCGGCAGTGAGGGCACACACACACACACAGAGGGGCTCAGTAATGAGGGCACACACACACACACACACACACACAGAGGGGCTCGGCAGTGAGGGCACACACACACACAGAGGGGCTCAGTAATGAGGGCACACACACACACACACACAGAGGGGCTCGGCAGTGAGGGCACACACACACACACACAGAGGGTGGGCACACACACACAGAGGGCACACACACACTCAGAGGGCACACACACACAGAGGGCACACACACACACACAGAGGGGCTCAGTAATGAGGGCACACACACACACACAGAGGGCACACACACACACAGAGGGGCTCAGCAGTGAGAGCACACACACACACACACACACAGAGGGGCTCGGCAGTGAGGGCACACACACACACACAGAGGGGCTCAGTAATGAGGGCACACACACACACACAGAGGGCACACACACACACACAGAGGGGCTCAGCAGTGAGAGCACACACACACACACACACACACAGAGGGGCTCAGTAATGAGGGCACACACACACACACACAGAGGGGCTCGGCAGTGAGGGCACACACACACACACACACACACACAGAGGGGCTCGGCAGTGAGGGTGCACACACACACACACACACACACACACACAGAGGGGCTCAGCAGTGAGGGCACACACACACACATACACAGAGGGGCTCAGTAATGAGGGCACACACACACACACACAGAAGGGCTCGGCAGTGAGGGCACACACACACACACACACGCACACACAGAGGGGCTCAGCAGTGAGGGTGCACACACACGCACACACACACACACAGGGGCTCGGCAGTGAGGGCACACACACACACACACACGCACACACAGAGGGGCTCTGCAGTGAGGGCATATACACACACACACACACACACAGGGGCTCGGCAGTGAGTGCACACACACACACACACACACACACGCACGCACACACACAGAGGGGCTCGGCAGTGAGGGCGCACACACACACACACACACACACACACACACACAGAGGGGCTCAGGATGTGTAAAGGTAGGCGCTGGCCAGCGCAGAGCCGTGGATGTGCAGCAGCACAGCAGGACGAGCACAGCGGCCGCCATGGCGCACAGGTGCACACCCACGGAGCTCAGGGCCGTCCCCTCCTCCTGCTCCTCCTGCTGCTCCTCCTGCTGCTCCTCCTGCTCCTCGGGGCCCGGCTCCGGCTCCCAGGCATCGTCATAGTCCTCTTCCGGCAGCAGGTCCGGGGACACACTGGACCCTTCCAGCTTCTCCCCCATGGGGACAGCTCCAATGTCCTCGTAAACAGCTTCCGAGGGCCGAGTCCCCAGCATTCCAAAACCTGCAGAGCCACGCCCGCTCCTGTCGCCCCGACACTCCCGCGGTCCCAGCCCACGGCTGCCGGCCCCCTGCGGGCGGGACCCTCCACCCCTCAGCTCCTCCTGCCTCGGGTCCCGTCGGGGGCACAAGGAACACACACTTCCGTGGGCACCCAAGACAGAGAGCTCCCCCGCTGTGCGGGTGACTCAGGAATGGGGAGCCCTCGAGCCTGCCCCTCACCCGTCTTCTCACCCAGCTCCTCTCAGAAGTGGAGCAGACCCTAGAGCACCCCCCCCCCGTCCCCAACAAGGCGACCACTCGTGGGTCACTGACATGTCCCCTCGGGGGAGATGGGGTGACACCCAGCACGCAGGACAGTGACCAGCACAGAGAGGGCCGGCCATGGGCTGGGACCTCAGCGTGTGCCCCCCAGCCTTCCCATCCCCAGGCCCCGGGTGCCTCTCGCCGGCCATGCCTGCCACCTACCCCCGCAGGCTCCTCTGCGGTACCACTGCACCCCCAGGATCAGGGAGACGGTGCCCAGGAGGGTGCCCAGGACGAAGCAGAGGATCATGGGCAGGGTCCCAGCCTTGAGGGAAGGCGGCGGGGCCAAGGCGGGGCCTGTGAGGACAGTGAGAGGCGGGTCCTCCCTGAGTCCTCGCACCGCCTGGGGAATTGTGACCTCCCTGGACCACCTGAGTCAGGGGGGAGGGGCGCCCGGAGGAGAGATGGGCTGTCCTGCTCCTCCCCCACAGATGGCCCTGAGGGGGAGGACGCAGAAGGACAGCTCCTACCATCCTGACAGCCACTGCTCTCGCCTTTGCTGTGGACGCAGCCACAGCTTCGAAGAGGCCATAACACACAGGGGCAAACCCCAGCAGGAAGGGAAGGACCCCAGAAGTCGCTGGGGCAGGACCCAGGCCGCTGTCCCTCCTCACAGCTCTCCGCCCGGCTGGCCCATGTTCCCCCAGCCACAGGTGTCTCCGGCACCGTGGCCCTCCCTGCCCCTGACCGCTCAGCACCCCAGACTGGGGCACAGGTGTCCACGGAGACTCCAGGCCGCCCCTCCATCGACCCCAGTGCAGGCCCCTCTGGGTCCGGGTCAGACAGGAGGCGGGAGTGGAGGCTGAGGAAGGACACCCACCTGCTGCTGGTGGTGGGACTGTGGGCCCTCTGTCACCTGCAGGAGAAAGGGCCACACCGTGGGGGAGTCAGAGGGGGGCTGCCATAGCCCCCAGCAGCCCAGACCCTCTGAGCCCCAGCCCCGCTCAGCCTGGCCTTGGACCCCCACGGAGGCAGCCTGTGCCCACCCCTCGGAGGGACCCAGCACGGGGGCAGCCTCAGGGCCCTGCGAGAACCCACAGTGAGGGGACACCCAGAGGAGCTGCCCGAGACCCCCTCCCCAGCCCCCAACAGCACCCCCGGCCCCCGGCCCACTCACGGGAGCAGCGCACGCCCGCGTCCTCCTTGTGCCCGCAGTCCGTGCGCCCCCACGGCTCCGCAGGGCAGCCCCCCAGCGCCGCCTCGCTGCCCCGGCACCCCACCTCGTCCAGCCACACGGGCCCCGAGCCCGGGCCGAAGGCGGCGCCCGCCGGGGCGCTGAGGGCCCCGCCGCAGCCCAGCTGGCGGCACACGACCTCCGCGTCCGCCAGGTCCCAGGCGTCGTCGCACACGGTGCCCCAGGCGCCCGCGTGCCACAGCTCTACGCGGCCCGAGCAGCTGTCCTGGCCGCCGCGCACCCGCACCGCGCCCTCCTCTGCAAAAGGGGGCACTGCGGGGTCACTGCGGGGTCACTGTGAGGCAGAGGTCACTGCAGGGCGGGGTCACTGCGGGGGGGTTCACTGCGGGGGGGGTTCACTGCGGGGCGGGGCGGGGTGAGCAGGGGCAGGCAGGAGGGCAGAGGAGTGAGCACCTGGGCAGCTGCCGGTGGTGGAGCAGTTGAGGGTCTCCCCGGAATCCTGCGTCGTGTTCGCTGGCAGTCCTGTGGAAGGAGCAGGGGCAGGCAGTCCCCGGGTGAATGCCCTGAAAAGCTTCAGGATGAAGTCTGTGATGCCCCGGGGCCCCCAGCCACGGACCCACGGCAGCCCCCGAGGGTGCAGGCCTGCCAGAGGCGCCGGGCCCACCTGTGCAGGTGATCCAGGCCTCTTCCTCCTGGGCGCAGGAGCGCGGGCGCCAGGGGTCCGAGGGGCACTGCCACAGCGTGGAGTTGTGCAGCGGGCGGCACTCAATCTTGTCCACCCAGGAGATGCCCGGGTCGGCGCGGACGGGCTTTCTGTCCACCCAGCCCTGCTCCCCGCAGCCCAGCTGCTTGCAGATGACGGACACGGAGTGCAGCTTCAGGGAGTTCCCGCACACGGCGCCCCACGAGCCGTTGTAGAGCACCTCCAGCCAGCCGGCGCAGCGCGGGGCGCCCCCCCGCAGCCGCAGGGCCACCGACTCTGCGAGGCAGCGGGTCAGGCCGGCCGCCCCTGAGGGAGGCCCAGCGCCGAGGCCGAGGCCGCGCAAGGCCATCGGACCCCGGGAGCCCCGGCACCGGCCCGCACGCCCACAGCGGTCTCCCGCCCTAAGGCAGCCCCGGCAGGTAAGCACGGCAACCAGCGTGATGTCCCAGCAGGGGTGCCAGCTGATTGTCTGAAACCCGACCTTGGAAATTACTTGAAATACAGAATAATACTTTTTGTATAAGATGACCAATTTAGCAGTGACTCTACAAATTTTAAAAAATGAAAAAAATTTAAACAAGGAGCCCTAACACTGGTTTGGCTCAGTGGACACAAGGGTCAGCATGTACCTTGGTGGCGGGCACATCCCCAGTAGGGGGTGTGCAAGAGGCAGCTGAGGGATGTTTCCGGGGCCGGAGCCTCCCTGAGCCAGTGCTTCACCCGCGGAGACGCCGCGCCCCTCGGACCCCGCGGCCCGGACCGCGCTCAGCTCCCGGACTGACCTGCGCAGACGGCGCCGGCGTCCTCCTTGTGGCCGCAGTCGTGCCGGCCCCAGCCCCGCGACGGGCAGCGCCACAGCGCGGACTCGGTGCCCTCGCAGCCCAGCTCGTCCAGCCAGATGCGCCCGGACCCTGGCCCGAAGGCCGCCGCCCCCGGGGCGCCCAGGGCGTGGCCGCAGCCCAGCTGGCGGCACACCACGTGCGCGTCCCGCAGGTCCCAGCCGTCGTCGCACACGGTGCCCCACGCGCCCCCGCGGAGCAGCTCCACGCGCCCCGCGCAGCGGCCCGGGCCCGCGGCCAGGCGCACCCGGCGGCTCCCTGCGGAGACCCCCCCCCCCAGTCAGCGGCCCGCTGGGGGGGGGCAGGGGTAGAGGGGGTGTTGGGGGCGGGGGGCGGGGAGAGACGGGGTGTGGGGGGGCGGGGAGAGGGCGGGTGTTGGGGGCGGGGGGTGTTGGGGGGAGGGATAGGGGAGCGGGGGGCGGGGGGCGGGGGAAAGGGACGGGGGGGTTGTTGGGTGTTGGGGGGCGGGGGTAGAGGGGGTGTTGGGTGTTGGGGGGCGGGGAGGCGGGGGTAGAGGGGGTGTTGGGTGTTGGGGGGCGGCCCGGTCCTCACTCACCCGCACAAACCACGCCCGCGTCCCGCGCGGCCCCCGGCGGCGCCAGCGGGGCGGCGGACACGTCGCACTGGGCCAGGCGGGCCTCGGTGCCCGCGCAGCGCACGCGGCTCAGCCCCACGCGGACCCCGCGCCCCGGGGCGGGGGCATCGTAGGCCCGCTCCGCCGCCCCGCAGCCCAGCTGCCGGCACACCACGCCCGCGCCGCGCGCGTCCCACGCGTCGTCCAGGACGCGGCCCCACGCGCCGTCCAGCGCCACCTCCACGCGGCCGTCACAGCGGCTCTGGCCGTCCCGCAGCCGCAGCGCCTGGGCCAGGCCTGGCGGAGGGAGAGGCGGGCTGGCGGGGCGGGCGGGGGCCCAGGGAGGGGCCCTGGCCTGGAGGGGGGGGGGACCGCCCTATCCCCCAGCCCATCCACCCCCACCCCTTGTCCCCCAGCCCGCCCACCCCCGCCCCCTGCAGCCCAGCCCGTCCACCCCCACCCCCTGCCCCCCAGCCCGCCCACCCCCACCCCCTGCCCCCCAGCCCGTCCACCCCCACCCCCTGCCCCCAGCCCGTCCACCCCCGCCCCCTGCAGCCCAGCCCGTCCACCCCCACCCCCTACCCTCCAGCCCATCCACCCCCACCCCCTGCCCCCAACCCATCCACCCCCGCCCCCTGCCCCCAGCCCGTCCACCCCCGCCCCCTGCAGCCCAGCCCATCCACCCCCACCCCCTACCCTCCAGCCCATCCACCCCCACCCCCTGCCCCCAACCCATCCACCCCCGCCCCCTGCCCCCAGCCCGTTCACCCCCGCCCCCTGCAGCCCAGCCCGTCCACCCCCACCCCCTGCCCCCAGCCCGTCCACCCCCAGCCCGTCCACTCCCAGTCCCCCTGCCCCCCAGCCCCTCCACCCCCACCCCCTGCCCCCAGCCCGTCCACCCCCACCCCCTGCCCCCAGCCCATCCAACGCCAGCCCCTGTGCCTGCGGCTCTTGCGGACCCACCTGAGCAGACCGCGGAGGCCGAGTGTCCGGGGGCGCAGGCCGGGGCGCCCAGCGTGCTCACCGGGCAGTGCCACAGGTAGGGCTCTGTCCCCGCACAGTGGAACCTGTCGGGCCAGAGGGGGGCGCTCCCGGGCCCAAAGTGACCGCCCGGGGGCACGGCCATGGCGCTGCCGCAGTGCAGCTGGTGGCAGAGGACGGTGGCGTCTGCGAGGTCCCAGTGGGCGGCACAGAGGGGCGCCCAGGCCCCCTGGACCTGGAGCTCCACGCGGCCCTCACAGCTGCTGCTGCCGTTGGCCAGTCGGAACTCTGTGGGGAGGTGCTGTCAGGCTCTCCTTTGACCCAGAGACCCAGCACAGGGCCATTTCCTTCTTGGAACCCCAGGTGGTGGCCACTGAGCTGTCACCTGGCTCTGACCGGCTCCCCCTGTTCCCCAGGCTGAGCCCTGGCTCACACATCTACGCAGAGAAGCCCACACTTGGTGGCCTGCCCTGGTGGACAGTGTTTCCCAAAGTGTGGTCCGCGTACCCCCAGGGGTACGGGAAGAGTTTGGTGGGGATATGCAGTGCACTGTGCTTAGCTGCGCCTAATTCTACGTTCTCATGAGCACGAGGGGCACTCAGTGTTACAAAAATTATAGAAGGCGTTCACATATGTCAGAAGTTTGGGAAACACTGATCTAGGACCAGGCTCCTGCCCACCTTCCCCTTCCCTCAACCCCCAGCAGCCACTTCCTCTCATGTAACAGGGCACCCTCCTGGCGGGCAGCTCCTTGGTGCGCTGGGGTTGGAGGAATCCAGGGGAAGGGGGGCCGGGGGGGCCTCACCTGAGCACCGGAGCCCGGCGTCCTGGCCGTGCCCACACCGGTGCCCGGGCGCCCTCGGGCAGTGGAACAGCAGCGACTCGTTGCCCGCACAGCGGAAGGCCTCCGTCCACACGGGCCCCGAGCCCTGGCCAAAGTGCGCGCCCGGGGGCGTGGACACGGCCACGCCGCACTGCAGCTCCCGGCACACCACGTGGGCCGTGGCCTGGTCCAGGTCCTGGTCGCAGACGGTGCCCCAGGTCAGGCCGCGCCTCACCTCCAGGCGCCCGGCACAGGGGTGCTCGCCGCCCGCCAGCCGGGCCTCCGTGTGTCCTGGGGAAGGAGAGGAGTCAGTCAGGGCAGGTGTCAGGCAAGCAGCTCACTGGAGCCGGCTCCCTGGACCACAGGGCGCTCCGGCCCGCGGGGTCCTCTGTCTCCAGGCAGTGGGTCCACCCAGCACCGGGCAGTCTGACAGCCAGAGGCCTGTCCGCCCTGCACGCAGAAAGCAGGGCCCCTGGGCCCTAACCGGTGTGGCTCGGTGGATAGAGCGTCGGCTTACGGACAGAAGCAACCCAGGTTCGATTCCGGTCAAGGGCATGTACCTGGGTTGCGGGCACATCCCCAGTAGGGGGTGGGCAGGAGGCGGCTGATCGATGTTTCTCTCACATCGATGTTTGTAGCTCTCTATCCCTCTCCCTTCCTCTCTGTGAGAAATCAATAAAATATATTAAAACATAATTTAAAACAAGAAAAAAAAAAAAAGAAAGAAAACAGAGGTCAGAGTCGCCTGCTGCAGGCGCCCATGCACGCCCCAGGCTGGTGGCCTCAAGGCCCTGTGTAATCTTGGAGGCAATGCCAAGGCCCTCAGGCCACAGGCATTGGCTCTGGGGGCACCAGGCAGGCCCGTTCGCCTGCCCTCACTCTGGGTGGATGCAGGCCCTGCCCTCTCACCTCTGACTCAGCGTTTTCCTCCCCCCCCCCCCCACCTGCTCCACTTCCACTTCCTCTGCAGCGGCCCAGGTGTCCCGAGGGGGAGGGGCGGTGTGGCGGGGCCGCACCTGAGCAGACCACCTCGGCGTCCTGCTCGGCGTCGCAACCTCTGCGGAGCTTGTTGTCGAGCCTGCAGTTGCGGATGGTGGGCTCCGTGCCCTGGCAGGTCATGAACTTCCCGCCGGCGGGGTCCCCGCCCTGGCGGGAGGCCTGCAGCGCCGGCCCGCACCCCAGCTCCTGGCAGAACACCGTGGCCTCCGTCTGGTGCAGGCCGCAGAGGCGGTCCACGCCGTTCAGGTTCTTGATCTCGGGGAGCCCGGAGCAGGGGCTCCGGCCCTTCACCAGCCGGATCTCCCGAAAAGTGCCGTCTGCGGAGCACGGGCTGCACTCAGGAGGGGCAGCCTCTGCCGCCCCCGCCTCCCCGGGGGCTGCGGCCGCCTCCACAGACATGTCCCCTGGGGCTCCCCACCGGCCTGGGTCCCAGCCCCAGGGCTGGGCCCTGCTCCTGCCTCGGTGTCAGTGCTGGGCTGAGGGGGCCCCTTCGGACCAGGCAGTCACAAAGGGCCCCTCGCTCAGAAGGACGCCCCTCAGAGGGGCCGCCTGTGTGACGCGCTGACAACCTTGCTCGTGTTGGGGCGCCTGCCCCCCAAAACCCCAGCCGTGGGTCTGCGTCCGAGGCAGGACACTAGGAGGGGCCTCGGGAGTTCCCATTCAGTTCTCCCACAGGCAGCTGGAACCCTGACGACAGACATGCCTGCCATGTGGGTAAGCAATCCCAGTTAGAAACCCACAGGGGCCCCTTAGGCCTCCTCAAGTGTCTAAAGACGCGGCGGTTCCTTCCCCCCAACACCCTCCTCCCCGTCCGACTCCTGCTCCTCCTTCCAGCGGCTGCTTCACTGGGCACTGGCTCATCCTCTGTCTCTCCCGGGGGAGCCAGGCTCTGCCCGCAGGAGGTGCCAGCTTTTCCCTGGCCACTTCCCCAGCACCCGGAACAGGGCCTTGCAAGGACTCGGGATGGAGATGAGACGGGGCCTTGCTAGCGGGGCCAGGCTGGCTCCTGTGCCCAAAGGGGACCCCCCCAGAGAGCCACAGCCCTGCCTGCCTCCCCTCCCACCACACCCCTCCCCCAAATCCTCCCCCTGGCTCCCCCTCCCCTCTCCCACGGTCCCAGCACCCACTTACTGGCGCACAGCGCGACCACCATCCACTCGTGGGGGCACGGGGCCCGTGTCCACGCCCCGAGGCTGCACTCCCACAGGGAGGACTCGTTGCCCCTGCAGGACACGTTGTGGAGCAAGGGCTGCTTCCTCTCTTCGGGCAGCGGGACGTACTTGGGGGCCCCCACGGCAGGGCCGCAGTCCAGCTGCCTGCAGACCACCGAGGCCTCCGCCAGCGTCCACTCCTGGTTGCACACGTGCCCCCACTCCCCCTCGTGTCGGACCAGCACCAGTCCGTCACACTCGCTGTATCTGTTCGCCAGCCTCAGGTTGCCCGGCCCACCTGCAGGGGGCAGGCAGCCTCAGCGGGGCCAGGCCCCCGGGGGCCAGGGGAGGGGAGGAGGCTGAGGGTGGGTGGCGTGGTGACGGCCTCTGCGTGTGCCCGGCCGCCCCCACGGCCTCGCTGCCGACAGAGCCAGATTAGAAACGTGGCCCTGGACCAGCTTGCCCCCAACCACACCCTTTCCAGGCCTCTGCCCCCTGGTCTTCTCCTCAGCCCCTGGCACCCCCCACCTTATCACAGGACCCTCCACCCGCAGCCCCCGTCCGGGGCTGGTGCAGGGGAATGGAACAGCGGCCCCAGGATGTCCGAGACGGGGGGTGGTGTGTGTGTGTGTGTGTGTGTGTGTGTGTGCACCTCGTCCCAGCCTGGTCATCCCAGGCCACCACCAGGGCTGCTGGGCTCACACGGGGAAAGAAGCGAAAGGGCAGACCAGCCGGGGCCCGGACGGAACAGGTCCTCCCACCCGCACTGGGGCCTCACCCCCCGCTGCCTGCTCCCCCGGCCTCCGCCGGGGCCTTCCAGCCCGGGAACGGCACCAGGTCTGCGTCCCTAACACACAACAGGCCCTGCCACCATCCCCCTGCCCACGCCTTACTGCCCCCAGATTCCCCACTACCACCCCCTGGGTGCCCTCTGTCCAGCTGTGCGGTCCCCCATCTGGACCCGGGTCAGCCTGGGGGGTAGTTTTCCTCCGCCAGCTTCCAGGGTACCGGATGCTGCTCCCGTCTCCGGCCTCCCGGCCCTGACACACCCTCACACTCGTACACCCACACGCATGCACACTCACAGGCATATGCGCACACGCTCACATTCTCCTCTCACACACATGCATGCACACGCACCCATGCTACTGTAGGCGGGTCCCGCATGGGCTGGTGCAGGGAAACAGAGCAGTGGCCCCAGGACCTCTGAGAGGGGGGGGCCCCTCGTCCCAGCCTGGTCATCCAGACCACCCCCAGGGCTGTCCTGTGACCCTTCGCACCTCCTGTCGGTCTGGGTCATTGAGACCAGACCAGCCATGTTCACTCATTCCATGCAAGCCTGCCCAGCCCACTCCTTGGGCTCTGAGCAGTGGGGCGGGAGGCTCTGGTTCCCCCTGGGATGGGGCCGGCTCCATGTTGGGGACAAGAGTCTCCAGGGGTCTAACTTGGGAGCCCACACACCCTCCGACCTCAGGATATCCCGCCCCCTCTGAGCTGAGCGACACCCAGGCAGCTGGTCGTAGCGGGGGATCCTCACACTCAGCATCTCAGCATCGGCAAGCCGCTGCCTCCGGAAGGTTCCGTGGATGAAGGGAGAAGAAACTCACCAGTGGGGACTGCCCAGAGCGTGAGGAGAAAGGGCCCGACTCCCAAGGCCCAGAGAGCAGCCCTCATGGCCCCTCCGCCCCCCTGCGTCAGCCAGCTCTGGCCACTGGGCTGGGCGTTGGCAGGGACGGAGCCCAGAGTCACACTCGCAGACGTGGGGCTGCCGTGGCCCCAGCGCCAGTGGAGGCAGCGAGGGCCTATCCAGGCTTATCAGTGGCCCCGGCGCTCGGTCTGTGAGCAGAGCAGCCAATGGCCTCGCAGCTCTGAGCATCGCAGGCATGCGCAGAGGGCCCTGCTGTGGGTTTCCTCTCCTGCTGGGAACTGCTGACGGGGCTGCTTCCCCCAGACCCATGATCAGGCGAGTGGTCCAGTCTGCCGGCAGCAAGGGCAGCAGGAAAAGCCACCCCATAGACAGTGACCGGCGACACCGCCCTCCCTGGGACCCGCAGGGACTGAGCGAGGGCCCCAGCACCAGGACAGTGAGACGGGCCCAGAGTTTTGTAAACAAAACTGTCATTGGAACCCAAGTCCACAAAAGAAGGCCAAAACCTATGCCCTAAGCCAGGGGTCGGCAAACTCATCAGCCAACAGAGCCAACTATCAACAGCACGACGACTGACATTTCTTTGGAGAGCCACATTTTTTAAACGTAAACTTCTTCTTTTTTTTTTTAAATATATTTTATTGATTTTTTACAGAGAGGAAGGGAGAGAGATAGAGAGCTAGAAACGTCGATGAGAGAGAAGCATCGACCAGCTGCCTCTTGCACACCCCCTACCGGGGATGTGCCCGCAACCAATGTACATGCCCTTGACTGGAATCGAACCTGGGACCTTTCAGTCCGCAGACCGACACTCTACCACTGAGCCAAACCGGCTTCAGCTAAACTTAAACTTCTTCTAAGGCCACTTCTTCAAAATAGACTCGCCCAGGCCGTGGTATTTTGTGGAAGAGCCACACTCAAGGGGCCAAAGAGACACATGTGGCTCGCAAGCCGCAGTTTGCTGACCACGGCCTTAAGCTGGAACAGGTGACCACCTGCTGAAACAGGACATTTAAAAAGGATCAAGAGCCTCCCCAACATCATAGCCCGAATGCCCAGGGTACACGTGCAAATCCTCGCCACACGAAGCCCACAATTCGATGATAAAGGACAATCAGCTGGTGGCAATGCCAGGGTGACCTAGTTGTCGGAATTACCTGACAAGGACTTCAGAACAGCATCCCACATAGCCTGACCTGTGTGGCTCAGTGGTTGAGCATCAATATGCCTCTGAACTAGGAGGCCACAGTTTGATTCCTGATCAGGTTGTGAGCTCAATCCCAGTGTGGGGCAGGCAGAAGGCAGCCAATCAGTGAATCTCTCTCATCGTTGATGTTTCTCTCTCTCCATTCCTCTCTGAAATCAATAAAAATACATTTTTTTAAAAAATGAAATAAAATATGAATCATATCTCAATAAAACTGTTATTTTTAAAGTAATTCTAAGACAAAAATTTTATTGATTGAAATTAACTTATTTACAGAAAGAGAATATAAAAGTTATCTGTTTTGAAACTTTAAGGATACACACTTAGCCGAAACCGGTTTGGCTCAGTGGATAGAGCGTGGGTCTGTGGACTGGAAGGTCCCAAGTTCGATTCTAGTTAAGGGCATGTACCTTGGTTGCGGGCACACCTCCAGTAGGGTGTGTGCAGGAGGCAGCTGATCGGTGATCCTCTCTCATCGATGTTTCTAACTCTCTATCCCTCTCCCTTCCTCTCTGTAAAAAATCAATAAAATATATTTAATAATTCTCTCTCATCATTGATGTTTCTATCTCTCTATCCCTCTTCCTTCCTCTCTAAAATCAATAAAAATATTTAAAAACAAAAACAAAAGTGCACAGAGAAACTCACACTGGAATTATCTGACATATTACTACTAGCTCTATTTTTCATTTCTTCCCAGTATTATTTCTGAAACAAAATATACTCATTATATTCAAACGCAAACATACTGTAATGTGTTTTGTTGCAGGTGGCTGCTTTCTTATTTTCATTAATGCCATTACTGAAGTCCTGTATTCTAAGGTACACTTTATATCTCGTATCCATGAACCCTCCTTGATACTTGCAATGTCATCTAATATATTAAAGAATCAACTAGTTAGATAATAAAGCAAAAACAGGACAGAAAAAAAAACCCAACACTTTTTCTTTTCTTTTTTAAGCAAAAGTGTTCTTAACAATTGCTAGCTATTGGCTCATAGAACTAGAGAATATACAGGATTTCCCCTGAAAATGTATACACACTTTAATGAATGATAGTCAGCTGATGTTTCTTTTCTTTCTTTCTTTCTTTTTTTTTTTCTTTCCAGATTTAGCCCACTGGAATTAAAATGGCCGTCGACATGTGCATCCATTTCTTTGTGGCACTGTCTCTGTTAGAAATCGGTCCTAAGAAAACTATTCCCCTTGGCTATTATTTGTCTAAGAAGCGATAAGCCATTTAATTCACAAGAAGCACACTGCTGACTCCTCCAGAAAACACAGCCTGGCCGTCTTGCTTCAAAGCAAGACAATGAGGCGGCAGGAGGGTGGTGGGGAAAGCAGTCTTCGAGAACATCATGGAAGGGAGCCCAGCTGTGCTCCATGGCCTCCTGCTTGTTACAGAAATCCGACGGCTCCTTGTGGCTGAATGCCACAGAACCTTCTCCAGACCCTCTGCACCCTCCTACTGTGCCCAGCAGGAGGAGGCTTTGGTTCTGCTGGGGCAAAGGGAGCCCTCTGAGGATCCAGCTGCTATCCTGCAGGCCTAGCTTGTGGGAAGGAGGCTTTGGTTCTGCTGGGGCACTAGCTTGTGGGAAGCAAGACTCCCCTGGCTGAATTTTTTGACTGTTTCTCAGCCTGTGGAAGACCAAGCACTGGCAAATGCTTCTGCTTTGTCTTGTTTATAAGGAGTGTTTTCCACCTGCTGCTGTGAAGCTGCTGGCTATCCAGGGTGACATGCTGTTCTAACAGGAATGATGTTGTGTCAGGAACCAGGTGATGATCTTGTCTGGAAAAAAATGCAGCTTCAAGTTTTCCCTCCTCTTCTTCACTGAAACTGCTCTCAGCCTTCAGGTGAAGTGTTTGAAGAATCAGGTGAGCAATCGTGGAAAGCTTCCTGTACCTGTTGCATTTACCAGTGCCACTGCTTGCTTGTTTCAGTGTGTTTTTAATTCACTGAATAGACTCACTAGTAAAATGGAAATGACGAAGGACAGCATCAGTGAACTTGAAGACAAACCAGTAGAATTTACTCAATGTAAACAACAGAGAGAAAATAGGGAAAAAATAATAGAGCAGCAGAGACCTCTGGCACAGTAGCAAAAGTTCTTCTATTTCTATGACTAGAGATCTGAAAAGAAGAGAGAAAATAAATAAATAAATAAATAAAATAAAATTTTTAAATATGGCTGAAAACTTCCCAAATGTGGTGGAAGACATAAACTTACAGATTCAAGAAGCTGGGCAAGCTCCAAAGTGGAGAAGCCCAAAGAAATTCCCATCAAAACACATCAGAACCAATCTTTTGAAATCTAAAGACAAAGACGAGTCCTAAGACAGCCCGAGAGAAAGGACACATTATCTACAAAGGGAAACCCATGTGCATGACTGCACATTTCGCATCTGCACGGAGGCAGCAGGCGGAGGAACGGCAGGTCGAAGAGCTGAAAGAGTGTGGAGCCCGTGCCCAGTGTCTGTGAAACCGCCCTACAGACATCAGCCGTGAAGGGAAACAAGGACATCCTCAGAGGGAGGGAAACGAAGAGAACGAGTTGCTGGTAGGCACACCTGGAAGACAGGGTTACACAAAGGCCTCCAAACAAAGAAAACGCTAATACTGAGACGGGCTCCCAAGAAAGGAAGGAGCGATGCAGAGGGGAAAAGCAGAGGGAGCCTAATAAACTGTCCTTCCCCTCGTGGGTTCTCCATCACATGTTCTGTTTGAGCGTGTCTCTCTCTCTCTCTCTCTCTCTCTCTCTCTCTCTCTCTCTCTCTCTCTCTCTCTCTCTCCCCCCCCCCCGCCCCGGGGGGATTCCACACACCCCGCCCCCTCTCCTGTGCGGAGGAAGGCGGTCCGGTGGACTTTGAAATTTCACCTGGGCTCACCCGGATGATGCCAGCGGTTCCCAGGGGCTCCCAGGAGGATTTAGGAATTTCCCCAAAGCGAAGCTTGGTGGGGTTAACCCACAGGGAGTAATAGGAACTTGACTGGGTTAACCCATAGGGAGTAATTGAAATGGTCACGGTAATCATTGCGATGATGATGACAGTATTGCGTGTTTTCTGTTTTTTGTCTAGAAAAAAATGCGGCTTCATGTTTTCCTTCCTCTTCTTCACTGAAACTACTCTCAGCCTTCAGGTGAAGTGTGATATAACGTTGCGATAAGTTTGCACCGTGACCAAAACTGACCAGACTTTGAGGGGTGATCAAGTTGTAAGCTATGTAAATATCAAACTGCTGTATTATACATCTGAGAGTAATATGCGACTATATTACTTGAAAAAAACAAAAACCTTACGTTTGAAGCAAAAGCTATACCACTACCTGAAGTATGTAGGACAACTAACTGTATTTTTACAGTGGGAGGGTAAAGAACCTAAATATAAGTAAGGTTTCTATATTTCACTTGAACTAGTAAGTTGTAAATACTACTAGGCTGTGATAAGTTACATTTATATTTAACATCCAGGGCAATCAATAAGAAAATGGCACAAAACTCAAGTTTTATCAAAATAAAACTCTCAAAATGTCCCCATAACTCACAGGGAGACGAAAAAACAACAACAGAGACATGAGAAGCTGCGGGAACGAATATAAAACAAAAAAATCAAAAGCTAGGCATAAGCCCCATCATATCAATAATACTTTAAATGGTCTAAACATATAACACAAAAGACAGATATTGGCAGAGTGCATTAAAAAAAGAAAAAAGCCATGACCCAAATAAGTGTTGTATACAAGAAACTCTTTTCAAACACAACATAGGTAGGTTGAAAATAAACTAGAAAAAGATATCTCCTGCAAACATTAATTTACAA